CCCCCCCCCCACACACACACACTTATAGGAGGAGACCAGAGATATTTGAATCTTAGAGCTCAATCTCTAAATGACCCAGTCTGGAATTAAATTTAAAAAAAACTTTTTTTCACCCCTTAAGAATGAAAAGGTCATACAAATGGTTTTAATTAGCAATGACACACATTTATAAAATAAGAATGGGAGTCTTTCAAGCAAAGCCTAAGGGAGCTAAGTATCTAATTCCCTGAGGTTATCAATTTTTCAAAGTGCTGTCCAAAGCCAGTCGCAAATCATTTCACATCCCAATTTATCAATGTAGATTTAATACAGTACAAGATTGAACCTATTTCATAATTCTAAATATTTTTCCTTCAAACCTGTTGGCCCATAAGTTGTTGGCTCATTTGGCCAAGCTGGCACAATGGCTGGAAGAGAAGGCACTGTGGGAGGCAAATGCACCTCAGAGAAGACGGGAGAGGCAGCTGGATTTACACATGGTAAGTGTTCTGTTAGTCTCTATAAAATTAAAGAGACAATGGGAAGTTAGTGGAGCTCACTGATGACATTTGGAACAGCAGCCTAAATTCTATCCACAAACAGTTGACAATTTGAGGTACACAGGTGACTGACCCAATAGAGGAACACCTTATAGTAACATTATCTCAAAAGACTACATACAAGAGAGGAGAACCCTTATTTTGCAGCCAGAATTGGTCTTACACGAAGCTCTCCCTCCAAAGTTAAATTAAGGCAGAGGTGCTCAACCCTCCAAGCCCATGGACAAATGCAGCCGGCAGAGCCATGGCATCTAGCCCATACGGCTCCCCACAGGTCAACAAATTTGGAGGTGGAGGAGCAGTGGCAATAATACTGTCACCCCTCCCCCTGCCAAATTCCAAAATTGCACAGCCAGGTCAGAGCCAAAGTAGCCCCATCACATCCTTCACACAGCCAGGCTGAGCATGCACACCACCCTCCCTGCCCCCAGATGCTAGATCAAGACCACCAGCCAGATTTGGCCTATAGACAGACCAGGCACTGGCCATTCAGCCTGCTGGGCAAAAAAGTTAAGCACCACTAGTTTAAGGCATATGAGCATGCCTATGTGAAAAAAAAAAAAAGCTTGCACCAACACTATCCAGGATGTACTCATACTTCTGGTTAAACAAGAAGTCTGTCTCCAGAATCATCAATCTACCAACTTCCATAATCACTAAACTATTTTCCCCGCAATCTCAAAAAAGAAAAGCCATTGTGTCTAAATGAAGCAAAACAGTGCTGATTAGATATTCAGCATATATGAGACTCTGCTAGAATACTAGAAAATCAGAAAACAGCAGCAGCCTTGGAGCTTGTGAGTCTTACCAAAATACACATTTAAACAATACTGCTAATTTCCTAGACAAGGTATGGAATAAAGGTACGGGGAGGGGGGGGAGAAAAAGGTTTAAATATATTCACTTAAAATATTCAGTGTGAATTAACCCCTCACCCACCCACTCAGAGTAGTAAACCTAAAATTAAATTATAAAGTTTTGGGGATGGAAACCATGTATTATTATTTATCATGATGTGCTCTCAATAATAAATTGGGGGATCTGAATGTTACTGGAATACAAATATTTATTAATAATAGATCTTCATTACACATGGCTGTGATGACGAGGATAGATACACTTTGCCTTGGACCTATTTAATGAAAATCCCAGAGGCTAGACAAACTTTTCTTACTTGTTCTGCTGGAGACAGAGATTGTGTCTTTGCTTGTTCTAAAGGAGGTGATGCTTCTGGATATCTGTCATCTCCACCATTCCTCTAGAACAAAGTTAAAAGTAAGGAAGAGTCAGGCCTATTCTGATTTTTTTTTCGTTTTTTGTTTGTTTGTTTGTTTGTTGTTGTTTTTTTTACAAACAAGCATTGAAACTTTTTAAGTACACACGATGGAAAAAGGTGAGCTACCACCATATACCAGTATGTTTATGTAACCTGATGTCTGTGGACAGACCATTGACAGCAGAATTAAAGACAATCAATTCTAGATCTATTCAAGCTACAAGATCAAAAGATGCTAGCATAACAACATACATTACTGGTTGGACAGTAAATCATACAACAAACACATGGTTTGCACTAGCAATGAGACCTGGTATCAGAAGTGCTCTGGTATCCTAGATTGCTACTCATTCCAATTTCAGAACAACCAATAGGTAGAGGATCCAGGAACTGAGAATCAGACATGCCTCAAGTCTTATCTACCAAAAGTTCAAAAGCAGCAGCAACGAATGCAGTTCCCTTTTCCCTTTCAGCTTATTGCTTTATCCCATGGTTTAATGCACTTGCCAGAGAAAGAAAACAACTTAAAAATACAATTGGTTTATTTTAAATTACCTCAGATGAATTTGGCTCAAGCTTCTGATTTAAGCGCATCTGCCTGGATTCGGAGTCTGTAATACCAAAAGACATGATCTAGTCATTGCAGAATTACACCATTCATCACCTTCGCAGCTTCAGCCAATACAAATTTGTCTTTCCAAAGTTAAATCATCCCACACATCATGATCTTCCAGCCTATGTCACTTCAAATCAGTAACACTTCGTAAATCAAGGGCAAGAAGACATGACTAAAATAAAAAGAGCCGACTGGAAAACAAGAATTCTGTTTCATAAAAAATGCTGAAGTTCAGAATTTGTTTTCATTCCATATTGGGCCAAAACTTTTCCAAGTCTCTTTTAAGAGACAAGAGGCATAAAAACACTGATCAGTGAGTACACTGAGAATGTAAACCTTGGTCTCCCACACACCAAGCAAGTCCTCTAGCTATCAAGCTCTACTAGCCATTTTAGGAGGCCTCTTCTCCCTCTCTGGTTTAGGCTAGAACAAGGTAATTTAACAGTGTTAATCTGAAGGCAGGGTAGACATATGCATCTTTATCAGGGGAGGGCAAAATGCAGCCCACGGGCCAGATGTGGCCCACCAGGCCATTCTATCCAGCCCATGGGGCCCCCCCAAAATTTAGAAAATTAATATTTATCTGTCCCTGGCTGCCTGTCACGCAGCCCTTGATGGCTTGCCAAAACTCAGTAAGTGGCCCTCTGCCCAAAATAACTAACTGTCTGCCCCTGATCTTTATAGACTAACTAAACAAGATAGAGCAAGCACAATATTTCGTGAACATGGGTTTACAAAAGCTTGTGGTCTCTATAATCTTAATTATACCAGAACGACATTCTAGACCAGAGAAACTGTCAAAAATAGTTTTAGCAAAACAGATACATTTATAAAAAGATTTACATTTCATCGACTCCGTATTTTCTGACAAAAACAGTATCTTTACATAACAAAAAGGTAAAACAAAGCTTTAATGGTTACAATTTCTGAAGCATTTTAGACAGAAGGTTTAAACTTGACCTAATTCCTAAAGCATTAGTGTATAGAGAAAAATTGTCTTGATATAATCTACCATATGAGAGGCTTTCATGGAAGCCTGCCAGTCCATAACAGAAGTTTGAGGGAAGCCTGTCTAGTCTAGGGTGTGGCCAGGTAACCATTTCTGATCAACCACAAATCCACCTCTCCAGCCATACTTAAGTGATACTCTGTGCTATAAAACCTAATTAACTACTGCACAATGTATTTAAAAAAAAAGCAGGCTATCCATAATCAAATCCCAGAACTGTGACAGGAATCTCAAGATATTAATATGAAAACACAATTGGTTTCTACAGAGAGCTTACATACAAAATTTCAGACGTAACGCAATGAAGGGTGGTAACAAAAAGCAAAGAAGGGCTAGCAAAGGAAGGGACATGTGCAATGCAAATATGCAAAGTCTTATACACATAATGGTGTAGTAAAGTCCATATAGATATATTTGTTGACTCATTCCTTAGGGGCATCACAGCAAAAGGGCCTTGGGGAAGGATGCGAATGAAAAAGAATAAAAGTCAGCTTTATGGAACATATCATGAAAGACATTCCAGCTACGGGATAGGTGGTAGGACTGCAAAACGGCACCATTCAGTTTCGACTTGCATTTCGAGGTTTTGACAGAACAGCCTTTCGTTTCGAATTTTGTTTCAATTCAAAACTGCTGTTCCATTTCGTTTCATCAAAACAGTGATGCTGTTTCGACATTTCGTCCATAGGCTATAATGGGGAAGCTCAAAACAGCCTCTCATCCAGCAGGCAGATGGGGGCCTGCAACCCTGGGGGGGCTGCGGGGGCTGTGCCAGTCCTCCCAGGGTGGTGGGCCCTAATCTGCCTGCCAGATGGGGGAGGGAAGCTGGGTGCTGCCACATGGGACCAGGGAGCTGGGGAAGGGAACTGAGCCCAATCGCTCAGTTCCCCTCCCCAGCCCTAAGATCATGCTGGGAAAGGCAACTCAGCCCTTCCCCAGCACAATCGTAGTGCATCCAGCTAGTAATTCTGTGGAGAAGAAGGGGTGTGGGGGGGCAGATCGAGGCCCCCGCACTAAGGGAGGAAGTGGGGCTAGGGCAGGAGTTACCCAGCCGGGGCGGGGTGCAGGACAGAACGGCTTGTCTGGGGGGTGCAGGGCGACTCCTGCAGCTGTGCACACCATTGGGGGAGTGTCCTCTGGATCTGTGCACAAGGCAAGGGTAGGCTGCCACTGCATGCTCGGGGCTAGGGCTAGCACCAGCCTCTTCCCTATGGGGGCAGGGTGCACTACAGCCACCCCAAAATTTGCCATAGCACCCCATACCCCTCCTCCCAGTGCCACTGCTGCCTGCCCCAAACACAGCCCTAGCCCAGGTCCTTGCCAGGAAGAGGCCAGCACTGACCCTGTCCCCAAACAAGCAGCCCAGCCCACGCAGATCCAGGGGGCTCATGCCCCTCATTTCTCCCCCGGGAGTGTGCGCAGCAGTGGGAATACCCCCCCCCCCCCCAAAATCCTCACCTCCCAGACAAGCTGCTCGTGGCTCCAGGGCCTCAATCTGCCCTCCCCACACCCCAACAGACTTACCAGCCCAATGCTGCTCTCCAAGCTGCCGGGCTGCATATCAGTAAATCTTTATCAGTACATCCCTATAAAATACCCTTCTTCATAGTTAGTGTCACATATAAGAAGGAACCCAAACGTGAAGTAACAAAGATGAAAGCTGGGGACATATTCAAAGTTTAAATATGAGACTGCCAGAACCAAAAGAGAAGACTGGCAGCTGCATTTACCAAAAACTTGCCACCACAAGATTAATTCCATCCCCAAAAAGCAGAGCTTAGTTCCCCCATTCTCTCTCCAAGAAATACCTAGCAGATGTATGAACAGGCAGAGGAAACAGAAAAATACCTCTTATAGCCTCCTTTCTGGCACTTTTTAAATAAAAAAAAAAAAAAAATCTCTTTTGCAATTCTCCCTCATAAATATTTACCCCCCAACTTTCTGCACCCCCTTACTCCTATTAGTTAAAAAATTCTTTTACACTAAAAGCTTTTACCCTTTTTTTGTCTTAGAAGACTCCATAACAGCAAATTTCTTTAACTTTTCTGTATTGTCAGCTATTGCAATACTGACCTAATACTAATTTCAGTAGGATTCAGCACCTAATCACTCCTGTAGTCCCAGACAGGCTAGCTTTCAGCATTTACGTCCTGTTGTGTGCCCTCCTAGATAGTATGAAAGTTTTACAAGAGGTATCTAGCTCATAGCTATATCTATCTATAAACCAGGAAAACATACACCCCCCCATGTCCAAAGCACAAAACACAATGTATCTGACTCAGTCTCTAATGTCAAAATTACCCTTATTATACTTACTTGGGTATATAAATTACTGTTTAGGCACCTTGCCAACTTCGAAAATCCCACCCTGGTTGACTCAAAGTATATGGGGTGTTTGTTTCCTTGGTTGTTTAAAATGATACATAAAAATTTCATTTTTACTGCTACCTTTATCCTTCCGCTCTTCTACATCTGATCCCCACTTGCTGTTTCTTCCCTCACTGACAACTGGGAACTTTTTCTGGTTGAAAGTATCAGCAGTCTGTGTAGCAGACTGATTCTGAAGAGATGGGAAAAAGCAAAAAAAAATTCAGATTTATATAAAGTACCGGTCATAAGAATTTATAGAACACCATTTCCTCACATAACCTTGTTATGTTTTTATGAAAGAAGTCTGTCATCAGCAAAAGGCAGAGAAAAGCAGCAGCTTTAGTATTCCAAATATGCTAGGCAGGTAATGAACTTAGGTAGGCTGAACTTTAAGGATGGACCAGAGGATCTCATGTCGGAATGAAGAGCTTGTATAATTAGTCCACATGAACGAATCCTGAGGCTTTGTTCTACTTTTAAAATTAGGATTTTCCACTCCAAAAACGTCATGCTCCTCTATTATGTGACCAGTGACATTACAGAACTAGCCATGAAGTCGAGAAACAGTGACTGCCTCCAGTCTAATCCTTCCCTAGGAAGTTCCAGAAGGTGGTCTTAAGTCCTGATTCTTCTCTCACTTACATGAATGTAAGGGAAGATTAACACCACTAAAGTGCTTAAAGTAGAACAAAATCAGACCCCCTTGTTTAGAAAGTAAGTCATCTCCACAAAGACATGCAAGATCTCTCTCAAGCACCAGTCTCCTAACCATGATACATCTGTTGATACTTCAGTCCAAATACGTCCCTTACAGGCAACCCCTGCTTAGCGCTCTTAATTGGTTCCTGAAAAACTGAGCGTTAAGCGAAACCGAAAGTATATGATGACCCATGATGGTGACCACAGTTGTTTTTAATGACCCATGATGTTGACCATGAGCATTATAACGAAACTCACTGAGTGCTAAGGTAAATCAGGTATCAATTTAAAATGAGCAATATAGCGCTAAGTGAAACAGCATTACGCAGGGGCTGCCTGTATTTCTGTTTTCTGCCTGACTGAAAATAAAAGTCACTTTTCAGAATGATATCCTTTTAAAGAAAGCACCTTATTACCCAGCTTCTTCTCTCAAAAGACACTCACTCTGTATAAATACATACTTTCCAGAACTAACATAAGACAAGCTATGGGAGAAGGTATTGGATACAATTCTGGCTTAGGCATCAATAGAATAGTTTTAAACAAAGGACTAAATTCTGTCTTCAATTAAACTTATACAACTCCACTGAAAATAACTGGGTTGCAAAGGTGTAAACGAGAGCAGAATTCAGCCAGAAGAATTTTCTTTACTGATGACAACAAAGTTAGAGCCCTGCTTGATTTCAAATCCAAACAGTTTTCAAATCAGATGGTTTGACAGTTGGCAGTCTGGAAAGCCACTTTTCAGAAAAGTAACTGTGCTTCAAAGCAAATCCTAACCCTACCTCTACATAACAGAAGACACCAAGCAGAACATTTTCTGTGGCTCAGCTGTATGAGGGAATGACAAAAATTGTATAGGAGGTAGACAGCCTCCCTTCATTCAGACCAGGTAAGATTGAATGCACCGTATATCACAATGCTCATCCGTAATCTGAGTGTGGAAAAACTACAATGCATCTTAATCTAACTACATACATCTACAGAATTATTTTTACTTATTCAGCTTTCTGTAGAAGAGATGTGAAGTAACATCTTTAACTTTTGAAATGTGTAATGAGAGAAGTTCACAAAACCAGGGCTTTAAAACTACCAAAATAATAAATTCACAGATAAGTAGCCATCATTACATGGTTAATAAGCTGTCTTTAAAATAAGCAAGGAAGCATACATACAGATAAAGCAGGAAAAGCCTGCTCATCCCTCTGCTGAATCTCATAAAGTGAACGAGATTCTTCTATAGCCTGTTTTTCTCTACGTTCCTCTGGAGACAGGCCAAAGTAGTTACAATCTCTGCTAGCATAATCCAAGTCTTCAGTTCTCTCACGGTCTGCTTTTCTGTGGAGAAGTGGAAGGAAAAAGAAGAAATGTCTTTTCAAAGAAATCAGTTACCTAGTGCCAGTGTTTAAAACAAGCACTACACCAAAATTAAGAATTTTTGGAGAAATGAGAGCAAAAAAAAAAAAATGTATGGCAGTAGTCATACAGGTCACATGAAGATCACTTCATAGTTGTAAATGATGCCTATCTATATGTATCAGGATTAGCAGGGTAAAAATAAACAAATAAATAAATGCATAGAATAAGAATATTCCATCTACAACATACTCCATTTTAGTAACGTCTGGAAAGACTCTAAGACAGCATTTTGAACCATAGGCATTTGCTCTTTTAAACAAGAAGAGGTGTTCCCTCTCTCTATTTAACATGCTAGTGCACATCCTACTGTTCTAATATAAAAGGAGGGGCATAATTTACTGGGAGAAATAAATAACTACTCATTAAATGCATTTCAAACAAAACACATAACAAAAGCATATTTTGCTCAAGTTAACATTTAATCTGAATTTCAGGACAAGCTCAATAAGTCAAGAAACTTCTGTGCTCTTAAAAACCATGTAATTTAGCTTTCTTAGCTAATTTTCCCATATTGTAATCAAGAACAGTATTCATATCATAAACAAGTATAAGTAGTTGGTTGGTATCCAAGGATGATAGGAATTTTTTTGTGTGAAAGAAAATTAATATTTCAGTTGGCTGAAGTGCTTTGGTTCTTTTTTTAAGTGGCTTTCCCTTTAACAGGCACTTACACAAGATACATTTTTTAAGTGATCAGGCCTCTGAAAGCACTCTACAGCCATGATGTAACACACATGCATGGCTGCAAAGCACTTTTAAGATGGCGCAAAAAATAAACCCTCCTCAAATGAGGTAATAGATGAGGGTACTATAAAGCAGAGTGCATTAGAAGACTTGGGTTCTCTCCAGGGTTTATTTTTTGCACTCTGCAGGTTTCCCTCAGCAGGGGAGGGAAGGGAAGGGAGGAGCTGTCAGCTGGGCTTGGCCTGGCTGGAGCTGGCGGGGAGGGTGAGAGTCCCCTTGCCTTGCGGGCCCCCCCCAGCTACCCTGACTCAGGTATTAAGGGCAGCTAAGCCAGGCCCGCGAGACAAGGGGAGGCTCCCTTTCTCCAACCCCTTGTCTGGACCTCTTGAGAGCAGCAGCTGCCAGCTCAGCTTGGCCTGGCTGGAGCTGGAGTGGAGGGGTGGGACACAAAGGAGCCCTCTCACCTCGTGGGCCTGGCCCAGCTCCCCCCCATTACCCCAGCTGCAGACTGATGAGATAGTGATATAAAGCCCTGAGTGCTGCTCAACATATGAATACTTGCCAGAACAGCAGTCTTAAATCGCCTTCCTCTACAAGCAGGGCAGACTCATGAAAGATACTCCCAGATGCAATGCTACCAAATAGGAAGACAGTAATGGAGTCGTAAGGACTGCAATTTTAAGACTGGTCTAAAGAAAAATATTCTTCAAATAAGTATCAGTTTGCAGTTGCAAGACACCAGTTGGGACACACAAGAAATAGGCTTTCGTGGCTAGTTGGCTACTTATGGCCCACGAGAACTACCAAAGCCCCAGGTAACAGACTGATCCATAGTTTTTACCTTACAGCCTGGGAAGGACTCCGGGAGCCCAGAGTTTTCTGCTCTGTAGAGGTCTGCTGAGACTGTGGCCCAGAATTTGAGAACTGATGCTGTCTGCTTCCCACAGCATGCTGAAGTCGAGGAGGTAGAACTGACTGGGTTTTTATTGGCTTATTTTGATTCTTTGGCCCTCTGCAGTCTGCATCTGACAAAGGCAAAAACACCATGCAAGATTTCTCACAACTACTGGAGACAGAACCACCCGCTTGACGCAGTTTCTGAAACTGAAGAAGGGGAGAAGAGACTCCTACCAGGCTGAACATTCTGACCACAAGTTGAAGGGAACTTCTTTATCTTCTTCCCTGACACAGTGTTCCAGGCCTCCATGGGGGATGCTTGTGGAAGAGGTTTAAGGTTCTTCAGTGACACAGAATGCCTGCAAGGAGTGGAGAGGAGGGTGAAGGGAAGAAAAAAAAAGCAGCAAGAGAGTTCTGTAAAACTGCACTGGGTTTTAGATAATTAGTACCAGATGTTCACTATGACAGATGGATCTTTTTCTGTTTCTGGGAGAATTACGTTAAGTTCTTTGTTCTTCATGTTCTACCCATTGCGTGAACTTAATCATAAAAGGCTGTAAAACAGTAAGAATTTTTTTTTTTTTTAGTCTCAGGCACAGCAGTAAGACTCCAACTTAACCAATTTTCAACAATTTGTTCAAAGTACACAAAAATTAAATTCAAAGACAGTATCTGACAATAAAAATATCCCAAACAGACAATATTCTTTATAAAAAGGAGGGAAAATAGCTTATTAGCTTTTACATAAATAGATATGGGGACATCCTCAGGACAGAGAGGGAAAGCAAAAGGATAGTAAGAATATTTCAATAATCTGATTAGTGACTTTACCTTTTGTCCCTTTTCACTTTAAACAGAAAAAATAAAGAAAAATGTCTGCTCATTAGCACTTGTTAGAGATATATGAACAAAGGTGAAGTACTTATGTTTGATTGGGAAGTGACGGAGCTTTTCCCTCTAAACCTATTAATGATATTACGTAAAGCAGCAAACTCTGTAAATTCACCAGAGCACTGCAACAGATTCACTGATATGGACAAATGTAGCTTTCAGTCACTTCATTTTCTATTTATCTTTTTTTAATCTAGGATGATAGTATGAACTGAAAGTAGCTATTTAAACTACTCAAAGATAAGAAATTCAGCTATATTATAGCTGGTCAAGGTGAACTACAAGTACATGTTATTCCATGTACCTGTTGACACACAAAAGGAATTCTATAACAAAATTTGCAAAGTAAGGTACAATTCTACAGGTTATCAGTTACCCAGAATCTTATCTTTCCTTTCCACACCATGAGCAAAGTGTTTCCTGTCTGGGTGCCTTTTCCCAAACGTTATAGTTGGAGAGAGTTCCCTTAACAACTCTTTTAATCCCTGCCACATGACAGGAATTGTTCTGTGTGAGCAAGCAAAAGAAAATGAGTTCCAGCACCTGCAACCCTATCTATGAGATGGTTCACCAGATTTGAGCGATTAGGTCACTGCGAGATATAATGCAAAGAGATGATTTTTAGTTTGTTCAGTGCACAGCTCTTTCTGCATGAAGTCAGAAAAAGAAAAGAGCTGATCAGCTATTATATTAGAATGGTATTCCCTTTCACAGCACTTTTAACACAGAAAGTTGGAGTTGTAGCATCTAACTACACAAGTACTACCAAATTCTGACAGTACTGTTCTATTTAGGTGTGGCATTTATACAGAAAACATTCCAATTTGAGTTTCTAAAGAATAAAAAAAATACAGTTACTGTAGAATGCCTCCTGTAGTAGTGTGTGGATAGAGCAGAAGAAAGAAAAGGAAATTCACACTTTTGTAACAGATATGTTCAGAGACAGTTTCAGTTGTTCTTGACATGCATCAAGTTCTTTTCTTGATCCAGCGCTTCATAAAAATGGTCAAGCAGATGGTGTTAAACAATGAAGAGGGGCCAGATGCCTTCGTTAAATTCTACATAGCAAATTTATACATGAAAATGTTGACTTACTTTGCTCCAAGCTCTTCCACAAATACAACAACAGGTCCATTCTCAGAGCAAACTTCTTGGATATGGGCATTATAAAGTTTTCCATTGTGATCTAAGCGCACCTGAAAAAGCGTGATACAGAAAATACATTGTACTGCACAGATCATACAAAGAGAAAAAAAAAGACGCTTTAACTCCTTGAACTACCAACAATATAACATAATTCTTTTTGGATGTCTCCCAGGTCATATGGGGAGAAAAAAAATGTCAAAACAAACTTTTAACCCATGCCGTTTTTATTTATTTTTTGTTTTTTTTGTTTGTTTGTTTTGGTTTTTTTTTTTTTTTTTTTTTTTTTTTTTTAA